CCCCTCGTTTCTTCCCTTGCCTACTTCTGCTTTAACCTTTAAGACAAATCCCTTCTGTCACCCTCTCCAAGAGGCCGTCCCTTGCTCACCCCGGGCTTTCACGCCTTCTGTGTCCCGTCTGTCAGAGGCATTTTCCAGGTCTTGTCACTGTGTTTCTGTCTCCACAGCCCCTGGTCTGTGTGCTCCCTGAGAACCTCGTCGTCTCTGTGTCCCCAGCCTGGCTCAGGCGGCCTGCACCAGGAGCTCCCACGCATCTTCTGACACGGAGGTACCCGTGGTGGCCCAGCTGACACATCCGCAGCAGACACGTATCCGCCATTCCCACGTCACGTTTCACCCGCGGTGCCAGCCTTCTTCTCACAGCTTTCTCTCACGTGGCTGTGACTGTTGGGACGGTTATTTTTCTGTGTCCACCGGGCTAGGCCGCGGCGCCCAGTCCTTGGGCAAACACTCACTGGCTGTTGCCGTGAGGATATTTCGTGGATGTGGTTAACACCTGCAATCAGTTGTTGACTCTGAGTAAAGGAGGTCGCCCTCCCTAATGCGGGTGGCCTCACCCAATCAGTTGAAGGCCTTAAGAGAAAAGATTGAGGTTTCCTGAAGAAGTAGAAATTCTGCCTTACGACTGTGATATAGAAATCCTGCCTGAGTTTCCAGCCTGCTGGCATGCCTTACAGATTTTGGAACTCCAAGACCCCACAAGCAGGCGGCCAATTCCGTAAAATAAATTTCTCTCTCTCCCTCCTATTGGTTTCTTTCTTCTGGAGAACACTGACTAACACAACTATGATCCCCGTTTTATGGATGGGGAAACTGAGGCTCAGGCTGAATCTTGTGATCAAGGTCATACCCCTGCTCAGAGGCAGGGCCAGAACTGGGGTCCAAGCCACCTCTCCAGGACCAAGATTCTGATCAGCCAGCTGATGCTGGGGTCCAGGGCCTTCTCCTCCTTCGGGCGTCTCTGGGTACCTGGACCTGGCTTCCTGGGCCAGGGAGTTGATCAGTGAATGGGCCCCTTCCTGTAAAGCCAAGACAGTTCACAGCTCTTCTCTACACTGCGCTTTCCGAGAGATATGGTGAAGCTTCTCCAGGTATGAGAGAAGGAGACGACCTAGGAACGAGCCCTTCCTTCCACTTCCTGGCTGTTTGACATTGGGCAAGTACCTTCCCCTCTCTGGGCTTCAGTTTCCACGATCTAAAATTCCCATAATAGGGGACTGGTTAGACACATTATGATACCTCCAGACAGTGGGGCAAAGTCAGGAGATTATGTATTGATATAGAAAAACCTTCGAGATAAATTATAGGGTGTAAATAACCAAGTGTAGCACAGTGTGACATATATGTTCTCTTTTGTGTGAGAAAAGAGCAGTTTAAGAAAATGTTCTCATATGTCCATAAATAAACTCTGGAGAGGTGCACCAGAGACTATTACAAATGATTCCTTGAGGGAGGGAGTGGCTAGGGCCAGGGATGGAATGAGACTTCTCACTTATTTAAAAATTTAATAATAATAATTTTAAATGGAGATAATGAGTTGTAGTTAGGTTTAAATTAGAAGATATATGTAAAATGCAAAGCACACAGTAGGTGCTCAAAAACAGTAGCTGGTTGTCCTTTCACTGTGACCTTTGGGGCGCTCCCCAGGAAAGGGGGAGAAGATCACTGTAACAGCTCCACTTCCCCCTAGCGCCCACTGTGAGCTTCCTGCTGCATGGGGTCCTTTGGGTTACAGAGGATGTGCTCCCCACCGGCCCTTGCTTTCCAGGATTTAATAAGCCCCCCGAGGAACCTGGGCTAAGAGGCACGGACAAGGTGGGGCCCACCACTCACTCGCCGAAGGGCCACAGGGAAGGTCGTTCACTGCTGGCGGGAAGGCAAAATGGTGCAGCCACTTTGGAAGACAGTTTGGCGGTTTCTTACAGAACTAAACACACTCTTATCAACCGATCCAGCTACCAAGATCCTCGGTATTCACCCAAATGAATTAAAAGCCTATGTCCACACAAGAATCTGAACATAGATGTTTATAGCAGCTTTCTTCGTAATGGCCCCAACTTGGAAGCATTCAAGATGTCCTTCAGTAGGCAAGCGGATAAACGAAGTGTGGCACATCCGGACAGTGGAATATTATTCAGGGCTGGAAAGAAATGAGCTATCAGCCTTGAGAAGACATGGAGAAAACTTAAATGCATGTTACTAAGTGAAAGAAGACAACCTGAGAAGTTTACACACTTTAAGATTCCAACTATATGACATTCTACAAAAGGCAAAGCTATAGAGACAATAAAAAGACCAGCCGTCGCCAGAGGTGGGGCGGGGGGAGAGCAGAGCTGAGTAGGCAGAGCACAGAGCCTATTTTAGGGCAGTGAAACCACTCTGTAGGGTGTTATCAGGACAGATATGTGTCATTGTGCATTTGTCCAAACCGACAGAAGGCGCAACATGAAGACTGAATAGTTAATGTGGACTGTGGACTCTGGGTGCCGGTGAGGTGTCCATGCAGCTGTAACAAATGTCCTGCTCTGGATGGGGGTGTTGATGGCGGGAAGGCTGTGTGTGTGTCAGGGCAGGGGGTATGCGGGAAATCTCCGTATGTCCCACTCAATTTTGTGTTTAACCTAAAACTTCTCTAAAAAAATTGTCTCTAAAAAAGAAGATTCAAAGGGAAAGAAGGGCCACTGGTCGCGAGGGGAGAGGGCTTGACAGGCTGGGAGCGAACGTTCAGTGGGCTGTCCCAGGCGTTCCTACACACCCTCCTGGAACTGCACACCAACCTTGGGAGGAATGGGGATCGCTTCCGTTTTACAGAAGAGGAAACTGAGGCTCAGAGAGTTGAGCTAATCTGGCCAAGAATGCACAGCTGGAAATTGGCAGAGTCAGGCTCTGACCTCATGTTTCTCCAACTGCGAAGTTCCCTGTCTTCCCCTCCACCACGGTGCCTGGCCGGGGCCTGGAAGGATCTGCTGTGTGGACTAAATGAAGCAGGGGGCAGGTGGGGGGATGCGGATGGGTCAGGGAGAGTAGTAGTAGCATGAGAGTGACCCCTAGACCCATTTCAAAGACCCTTCAAACTCGACAACGACCCTCTAGGCAGGCACAGGTCATAGTATTATCTTTCCCCAGCCCCTCATTCATTCATTCACTTGTCCATTTAGTGAATCATTCACATTTTAGTGAAAACTAGTCTTTGCCAGGCCTTATGTTGGGAACCAGGGGCATTAAAATGAATGAGTCATGGTGTCTGCATCCAGGAGCTCACAGTTCAGTGAGAGAGAAAGACCTAAACTGAATGGTGAGTTTGAAGATGAGCATAAAGCAGTAAAGACCAGAGCCCAGAGAAGGTGGCATTGCAGGGTGGAGCTCTTGCAACATGTGTAAGAGTTTGCTGTGTGTGGGGTGGGGCGTGGTAAGGACTAAGTGACGGTACGTGGTAAGGACTAAGGGGGAAGAAAGCAAGGTGAGTTTGGAGAACAGCTAGTGGCCCAGAGTGATTGAGGGGTGTGTGCTGGGGGTTGGGTACAGTTGGGGAGGAAGAGGACAAGGATGGAGAGACGGTTGGGAAGAGGTCAGACCGTGGGGCATTGTGACAGAGACTGGACACCATCCTACAGGCCACAGAGAGTTAAGCAGGCAGCAGAGTAGCCAGGCAGATCTGGACTTTGGAACAACCACTCTGGGGCCTGGGAAGGGGGCAGAGAGTGGAGACAGAAGCCCTGGGTTCATCTTGGGGTATCTTCCAGTACCTTGGGTTCCTCCAGGGTCTTTCCTTTGCCATTCTCCCCTTTTTTATTGGATTTTAATTGAGAAAATTGTAGATCCACATGCAGTTATAAGAAATAATCTGAGACATACCTTGTACTTTGAGCCCATCTTCCCCTAGTGGTAACATTTTGCGAAATGATTCCTTTGCCACTTTTGATATGGAGGGTGGATATTGTGATGGGGGCACCAGTGCATTGAAGGACAGGTGCCCAGACTGCTCTGGTGACTGGGTGCCTCCTTCCCATGGCCTTCCCTCCCTCCGTGAGCCAAGACCCTTTCATGAGTATGTCATGAATCAAGTTTGGGAAGCCTCGCAACAGCATCTCACGGGTTCATCCTTACAAACCCCTCGTCTGTCTCCTTACAGGAGACCAGGCCTCCCCTGCTCCAGGTTCACCCTAGACACGGACATACCCCAAACACGGTATAACCAAGATGATCAGCTGACCAACCAAGGTTAGAGTTCCCCTTACATTATATGGTGGTGGAGCTGGGAAGTACTGCCCAGCCAGGAACTACATTTCCCAGCACTCCTTGCTGGTCATGTGACTAGTTCTCGCCAATGCCCTGTGAACAGAAGGGTAGCATGCCGCTTTCAGGATGAGGGGCTAAGTAGTGGGTATGTCATCTTCTCTTTCTTCTCCGGGTCTGCTGTTTGGATGATTCCAGGATATCACAGGATGCCAGAGGAGCCACAAGATGAAAGTGGCCTTTGTCCTGGAGCATCCAAAGCCACCCAGCAGAGCCACGGGCCAGGATCATGGGCATTGGACTTTGTGTGAGTGAGAAATAAACATCCATAAATGTTTCCAATATACAAAAGGAGAGGAGAGCACAGTATAATGACCCACCTTGGCCATCCACCATTCAGCTTCAAAAACTATCAGCGTTTCCCAGTCTTCTTCATTTACCATCCCCACCCTACTTTTTAAATTGTTTGCTGGAGTTTTCTAAAGTAATTCCCAGATGTCACGCAAAACAACAAAACAAAAACCCAAACACCCTTTACGGTGCTAAGCCGCGGAGACGAGGGGCGGTTTGTCACAGCAGTTAGCCAGCCCCGCCTAGATGCAGTGGACACTCAGTGCCTAGCTGCTGAACTGAACACAACTGACCTGTTTTTCTAGGCTGTGCAGCGCACAGAGGAATGTGTCTGGGCCTAAAGCAGCAAGAACGCCAAGCCTTCCAGCTCTTGGAGAAGGAGCTCTCTTTGTTCTTCTGTTCAGCCCCACCCACCCACCCTACCCACCAGTATCTCCTACTTCTTCGTCCTTCCAGGCGCTGGGCTGCCCAGAGGAGAAGAAGACCCAAGGTGGGATCAGGAATAGAGGGTTTTTCGGGCCATGTCCGGGCTTGGGCTGGGCTGGGTGTGGCGGGTGAGGCTGGAACAGAGAGAGCAGGCAGGAGGGATGCATGCTGGAAACCCAGAGCTTAGCAGCAGGGGCTGGGGCCAGGGCAGCAAAACCTTTTGTGCTTTTCAGCTTGACCTGCGTTCATGACCCTAAAGCTCAGAGGCAGGAAAGAGCTTTGTGGTCAGACCCTCGGGTGGACTTGAGTTCATTCAAAAAGTTGTCGTTATTGAACACCAGTGGGGCAGCCCTGTGCCCTGTGCTGGGGACGTACTGGTGGGCTGGGTCCTGGCCTGGCCACTCCCTGGCTCCGTGAACTTGGGCAGATTCCTTTACTGCTCCGAGCCTCAGACTCCGATATGAAAATGAGGATGGAAATATCAACCTCACTGGGCCCTGGGAAATTGGCCATGATGTGCAGAGAGAGCCTGGCACCCAGTTGGCTCTTGATGACTCATAGCGATTGCTATCGATTTTTGTTCACAATGGCGATAAGTACGGGAGTGGGCGAGGGCGCCCATCCAGAAAGTGGATCAGGGCTGGAGGATGCTGAGCCCCACCCTCTTGGGAGCTGTTTTCAGAGAGGAAAAATGGAGAATGCTGGGAGCCAAAGGGCTTTCTCTGGGAGCGGCCAGGTCTAGGTTTGCATGTCAGAGGAGTGAGGGTGTGGAATCCTGCAATTCAGGGGCTCTTTCCTGGAAGGGGCTGGATCAGCAACAAAATGCTTCCTCCCTTGGAGATAGCCTCGCAGCTGTCAGGAAAAAACAGCTGCGTGGCTTCCCTTCAAGAGGGGAGACCTCAGTCCTGTTGGGGAGAAGGGCAAGATGTGAGAGAAAACAGGATCTCCCAGGCAGGTTCTCTGGGGCCACGGACCAGATTCAAAAGCCAGTCCTGCTTCCTGGCTGTGTGACTTTGGGCAAGTCACCACCTCTCTGAGCCTCAGCTGTATCATTGGGGATAGTGATGTTCGTCTCACAAGACTGTTGTGAGAAGAAGAAAAATAATGTGTCTAAAATGCATTGTGCGGTGCTTGGTACACAGGAAGCACTCAAGAAAAAGTCAATGTGAATCACTCACCCCTAGGGCTTAAAAAGAAACTCCTTCTTCTCTCAAGCAACTTCTAAATATTGGAGGCGCCTCCTCTCTTTCCCTGTGTGGACGTCCTGCATGCGTTCGTCCGCTTCCACAGCATTAAACCCCGTCTCCAGGCTGTCGGCGCTGTGGATGGCGTTGGAAGCTACGAGGCTCTTGCTGTTGTAGGTTGTGGATTCTTGGTATTCCCCCTAAGCTGCACCCCACACCCCGTCCTGAGGAGAGCCTTGATCTGGTGAGAGATCTTGCTTATTCTCTCTCCCTCAGGCCCAAGTCCAACGCATCTGCAAGTCCTGATGCCTCCCCATTGGCAGCTCCCCACCCTCCCCTCCACAGCCACCACCATCACCCATGCTGCCATCCTCTCTCTGCTCGGCCGCACAGCCCCCTCCTCACCCTCCCTGCCCCCACCCTGCCTCTCCTACAACCAGCTCTCCACACAGCAGCCTTACCTTTTTCTTTTAACTTTATTTTGACATAAATCCTAGACTTATAGAAAAATTGTAAGAATGGCACAAAGACTTTTCACACTCTTCACTCAATTCCCTATACTTTATTCTTTGTCACACACACACACGCACACAGATCGCTTTTCTAAGACATTTGAGAGTAAGCTGGAGACGTCATGCCCCCTTCCCCCCGAATATTCCAGCAGGCGTTCCCTATAAACGAGGGCACTCTCTTACATCACCACAGTACGATGGCTGAAAACAGTCCATTGGTATAGTGTTGTTAGCTAACCTGCAGACTTCATCACATTCTGCCTGCTGTCCCAAAAGAAAATTCTGGAGCATGCATTGCATTCCGTTGCCGTGTCCCTTCAGTCTCCTTTAAGTTGGACCCATCCCTCGGTCTTCGTCTGTCATGACCTTAGCATTTTTGAGAAGTACAGTGCAGTTATTTAGTAGCGTGTCCCTCCGTTCGGGCTTGTCTGGTGTTTCCTCCTACAGTGAGTTTTAAAAAGTGCAGGCGATCTCCTCACTCCTCTGCTCTCAGCCCCACAACGGCATCTGCTGCACCCGAGAAAAGGCAAACGCCCCGCACGGCGCCCCCGCCATCGCCATCGCGGCAGCCCGACTGCCCTGCGGCCCTCGTCTGCTCTCCACTCCAGCGCTCTGCTCTCCGTGCTCAGTCTCATCTCCGCACCCCAGCCACACCTCCCCAACCTGCCACGTTGCTCTCTGCCCCCTTGTCCTGCTGTACTTTCCTTCACGGTACCACTTGCCATTAGGTTGCACATTGAGTCTCCTCCCACCAGAACGTAAGCCCCAGAAGGGCAGGAATTCGGCCCTGCTATATATCCAGCACCGCAGCAGTGCCCTAACCCTGGTCCTCCTCTCTGGGAGGTGATGGGAGGTTTGGGGGTTCCCTGTCTTCTCATTTCTTGCTGACCCTTGGCCCCTGTGAGTGCCCCCTTTGTCCAAGAAAGCATCTTCCTTAACCCATCCCACGTGATGTTGTAGGATTCATCCCAAGTCCCAATCCCTGACGGGGAGACCTGGGAGGGATCCCTTTGCACAACACAGACAGACCCGGTGTCCAACCCCCTGTGCTACCTCATAGCTGGACAGAGGAAATAAGAATTCTTAGCTCGGTGAGACGTTGAATGGAGAGTTGAGATAACGAATGTAGAAGTGCCTGGCACATAACAGGTTCTTCTCGCCTCCCTCTCTCTAGTTGGTGAAATAAAAAGACCCATTACATCTTCTGGAGAAGTTGGAAGGGGGTTGTAATGGGTTGAATGGTGCCCCCGCAAAAGGTATGTCCCTTTTCTAACCCCCAGAACTTGTGAATGTGACCCTATTTGTAATTAAGTGTCTTGAGATGAGATGATCCTGGATTATCCGGTGGGCTCTAAATTCAATGGTAGGTGTTGTATTTATAAGAGACACACAGAGGAGAAGACAGACACACAGCACAGATGATGTGAGGATGGAGGCAGAGACCGGAGTGAAGTGGCTGCAATCTAGGTCTGCTGGTAGCCGCCAGAAGCTGGGAGAGAGGCACGGGATGGATTCTCCCGCCACCATCTTGGTTTTGGACTTCTGACCTCCAAAACTGTGAGAGAATAAATTTCTGTTGTTTTAAGCTCCCACGTTTGTTACAACTGCTCCAGGAAACTAATACAGGGATGGACTTTGGCAGAACAACAGATGGAAGTTGCTGGCCCACAGGGAGCCCTTGCTGGATGGGACTTTCCACACACAGGGCTTCATTCCCTCCTCCCCATAGGTAGCGAGAGAAGGCAAGCACGGCTCTCTGATGGGGCCGATTCAGCCCTGGGGGCCCACAACGGAAGTGGCCTGGGCTGAAGCCTCCTGAGCCAGGGGTCTCCCCACATCCCCTCCCTTAGTCAAGTGGAGCGACCTCCCTGGGTGTCCCTTTAAATGGTAAATCTGAGAGAGCAGCCCAGACAGTGGGGGATCGTAGAACACTTGGGAGCAGGCAGAGTGGAGTTGGGGGCCTGGCCGTTTTGGGGTTGTCTGGGGCTGCTGACTGCTGGCACCCAGGGACCTTAGGGCCTTTGGGGGCCAATGGAATCTCACAGTTCCCCCGGGGGTGGTGGTGGGGACAGGGCGCCCTCAGCCTGTGGGAGCAGGCTGGCCCCTGATAGCTCAGTGCTCAGACCACACAGAACAAGATTCTGGGGCCCTTTTTAGACAGCTCTGCCCACCGTGCCAGTCTGTCTCCAAATCCACTTCCACCACCTCTCACGTTTCCCTGCAGAACTTGGCATCCTCAGCCCGACTACACCATTCGGGGGCCCGGCTCCTGCTCAGCTCGGTGATTCCCACCACAGCTCCAGGAAGCAGGTGCAGCAGCACGGACCGCACGACCGCAGGGCCTCAGGGTGACCGGACACCAGGCCTGGACTTACTCTCATCCAGAGAGTTCCCTGGAGTGGCTGCAGACCCCAAAGGAAGGCCGCAGCTCTGTGCGTGGGAGTAAATCCTGGCCAAGGGGCAGCTGGCGAGGACGCTTCCTTGCAGGGTTCCTGAGCTGAGCTTTCTTGTGGGAAAAGGCCCCTCCCAGCTGCTATGAGTCAGCTGGGCCAGCAGGTGGGCTGGGGTGCCACGCCCACTGCAGGCTCTCCCCTCTGTACCCTCACCTCTAACAGGGCCAGCTCAGGGGCCACTAATGAATTCTGCAGGGCTCACATGCCAGGCAGGAGAGGGAAGCTGCTCCGGGAACCACCCCCGGGCAGAGCGGACCCCAGGGACGCCTGTGGGAGAGGGAACAGAGGCGGCAGTTTCACACCCTGTCACAATGCAGGTAGCAGTTTCCTTTCTGGGGACTGGAATGTGACCTACTTCCCTGTAACAAGATGCGACTTCAGCACTTGGATGGAAGATGCAGGTGAAGGCTGCGTTCCTCCCCAAACAGAGCGAGAATGAGGAGAGTCTGTGCCCTGATGCGTCCACACACTGCTCCCCCGGCCTCGAACATCCCCACTCAGCTCGTCCATCTAGAAAACCCCTCTCTGTGAATCGTAAGCAGCTGGAGGGACCTCCCTGCCCCCAACTAGGGCAGCCTTCCACCACCTCTCCATGCTGAGCTGCCCACACTGGGGGTAAAGTCGGAGGCTTTTGAGCTGGTTACAGAGCCATTCAGGCTGTGAAAGAGGGCTGTCTGCCCTGTGTGTGATTCCCTCCTCAGCCCCCAGCACAGTGGCTGGCACTCAGTGCCGTGTGTAACATCTGTGGGATGTGGACGCACGGATTCAACTCTGAGCTCAGTGTCCTCATCTGGCAACAGGGCTAGTGGACAATAGCTCCTTTCAATAGATCAATGAATAGGCTTTATTGAGTCCTTCATATTGACAAACTCAGGAAGAATATATATAGTGGGAGGCTAAATAATGGCTTCTGAAGACATCCAGGGCCTAACCCCTAGGACCTGTGAATATTTATATAGATATACACGTGTGTGTGTGTGTGCACGTGCACGTGCGTGCGTGCCTCTCAGGGCAGTCAGTGCCTGGCACATGGTAATTGCCCAATAAATGGAAATTGTCTTATTTATTATCACTGCTGTCTCCCCTCACTGCTCCCAGCGCTCCCCAGGCATGGGTCACACCATATCATACAGTCCTTGTTGATTCTTCTCCGTGAGGCAGGAGATCTCTGAGCACAGGCTCGCCCAGAGTAGGTGCTAATTAAACGCTAAAGGAATAAACACAGTAAATGAGGAGGTGACCGGAAACCTGGCTTCAGCTCCTAAAACCAATGATGCAGATCTCAGGGAGTCTCAAGGCCACTTCAGTGAAAGGTCTTGTCACTGGTGGGTAACGTTTCCTTGTGAACCACTCTGCAGTGGGCAGAGAATTTTCCGCAATGGGAAACCCTTTCGTAATGGTCATCTCAGTTGGTCCTCTCAGTAAGTGCTGCTGAAGTGCATGGGACCTGTTTTATAGAAATAGTTGGCACCTGTTTTGTGAAAGGTGAGGTACAAAGGAGCTTTGGCCTCTTGATGTCCAATCCATGCTCTGCCACGTCCTCTGTGTGATCTGGGGCAAGTCACTTCTCCACTCTGTGCCTCACTTTCTATATCAACAAAACGTAAATAACCCTATGTACCCAATAAAACTGATATGAAGCTTGCATAAGGCACTGTATAGGGAGACAGTTAATTAGGACCAAATCTCCCACAGAGGACAACTGAAAAAAGCATGTGGAATATAAAAAACATCTTAAAAGCACCAAAGAGACAATAAGAGAATGAGGAATTAGCTGAGCACAATATGCAAAAAATGAGAACCCAAAGAAGTAAGCCTGGTACCCAAAGCTGCATTTTCCCTAAGAGTATTTACTAATCCAGAAGAAACAGTCATGGTTTTCGTGGCCTCAGGACAAAATTTAAAGCCTAGAGTCTACCAAAAGTGGGGACTTTGATAAATGCTTCTCCTTCCTCATTTTAAGATGGGATCCTGAACGTCTACACTGAAAGTTATGATGGGTCATAAGTAAACCCACTCTCTCATGGACTTTCTGGTTTTGTGGTCTAGGTGATCCAGGGAACATTAAGCCTTGAACTTAGGTTAAGGTGGTTCCAGCCTGGTAGAGTTCCAAGACTTCTGGTAGAGTTCCCAGACTCCTGGCAGAAGCAAACAAAAAATCTTTGGAGAAAATACCACCATCTTAGGTGACAAATCATTCTTGCAAATAATTTTTCAAATAAAATGTCCAGCACACAGTGAAAAAAAATCAGGGACTCAAGGAAATAATAAACCTGAGTGAGAACCAGGAAAACTACAGACTACAGAAATAGACATAAAAACTTCAATTATTAGAATTATCAGACACAGACTATAAGATAACAATGTTTACCATGTTTAAAGAAATACAAAGGGACAAGAAACTATAAAAAGCAACACTGCAGATTTGAAAAAGAGCAAAATAAACTTTGAGAACTGAAAAAATAACAAAATTAAGGATACAAAGTCAGTTTAATGGTAGATAGATACAGTTGAAGAGAAAATTAATGAACTGGAAGACAGATTAGAAGAAAGTGTCCTATATGCAGCAGGAGAAATAAAAAGATTAAAAATATTGAAGAGAGGATGAGAGAATGCAGTGAGAACATCTAACACATATGTGATTGGGGTGGAGTTCTAGAAGCAAAGAGACAGATAATGGCTGAGAACTTCCAAGATCTATGGAAAGACACCAATTCCAGTACTGATAAATTCAAGAAGTCCAAGTAGGATTGCAAAAAAAATTGTCCATATATAGACACATCACAGAGAATCTTAAGAAAACCACAGACAAGGAAAAAATCTCAAAAGAAGTGAGAGAAAAGGGATGGTATCTTCAAAGTAGTAGCAGAAGAATAGCTGACTCCTCAAAACCAACAATAGAAGCCGGAAGACAGTGAAGTGACATCTTTAATGTGCTGAAAGAAAACAACCCCAGCATAGTATTCTGGACCCAGAGATGTATCCTGTAAGAGTGGATGTGAAATAAATACAATTTTGACAAACAAAAGGTCACCAGTGGACATTCACTAAGGGTATTCTTCAGAAGCAAATTGTCTCAGACAGAAGGTCAGAAATGAAAGAAGACAAGCAACAAATGAAAAAATAGATGAATTGGACTTCATAAAAATTAAAAACTTTAGTGTTTTAAAAAACGCCATCAAGAAAATGAAAAGACAACCCATAGAATGGGAGAAAATATTTGCAAGTCATATATCTTATAAGGAATTTGTGTCTAGAATATATATTTAAAAAACTGTTACAATTCAGTAATAAAAAGACAAACAACCCAATTATAAAATGGGTAAAGGATCTAAATAGTCTTTTCTCCAAGGAAGCTAGACAAATGGCCAATAAGCACATGAAAATCTGCTCAATATCATTAGTCTTTAGGCAAATACAAATCACAACAACTTAGACACCACTTCACATCCACCAGAATGGCTAGAATAAAGTCAGATAATAACAAGTGTTGATAAGGAGGTGGAGAAATTGGAACCCTCATGCACTGCTGGTGGGAATGTAAAATGGTGCAGCCACTTTGGAAGACATTCTGATAGTTCCTCAAATGAGTAAACATAGAGTTATCATATGATCCAATAATCCCACTTCTAAGTATATACCCAAGAAATGAAAATATACATCCACACAAAAACTTGTATATGAATGTTTATAGTAGCATTATTCATAATAGCAAAAAGACAGAAGCAACCCAAATGTCCAGCAACAGATGAATGGATAAACAAAACGTGGTACATCTATACAATGGAATATTATTTGGTCATAAAAAGGAATGAAGGAGACTTCAGTTTTACAGTCCATTATGTAAGGAACTTAGAAATTGCCACTTTGTCCTAAAAATAAGTTAAAAGCTGAACAAACTGAAAAATCCACTAAATGAAAATGAAAATACAACTTAAGAAAGTTTTTGGGATGCAGTGAAAGCAATAGTTAGAGGGAATTTTATAACATTGAATTCATATACTAGGAAAGAAGAAAGATCTGAAATCAATAATTTAAGCTTCCACCTTAGGAAACTAGAAAAAGAAGAACAAATTAGGGGCTGGCCCAGGCGCAGCAGTTAAGTTCACATGTTCCGCTTCTCAGCAGCCTGGGGTTTGCCGGTTCGGATCCTGGGTGCGGACATGGCACCACTTGGCACGCCATGCTGTGGTAGGCGTCCCACATATAAAGTAGAGGAAGATGGGCACGATGTTAGCTCAGGGCCAGTCTTCCTCAGCAAAAAGAGGAGGACTGGCAGTAGTTAGCTCAGGGCTAATCTTCCTCAAAAAAACAAAACAAACAAACAAACAAAAACAAAAAAAAATGAAGAAGAAATTAAGGTCAAAGTAAGTAGAAGAAAAGAAATAATAGAAAGTGGAACAGAAATCAATGAAATAAAAAACAGGAAATTAATAGAGAAAATCAACAAAACCAAAAGCTTGTTCTTTGAAAAAAGAATCAATAAAAATCCATAGGCCTTTAGCTGGGCTAAGAAAAAAAGAGAGAAGATATAAATTACTAATATCAGAATGAAAAAGAGGACATCACTACAGATCCCATGTACATTAAAAGGATAATAAAGGAATATTATGAATAACTCTATGCCCACTGTTGTGATAGCCTTGATGAAATGGACCAATTCCTTGAAAGACCAATCTGCCAAAACTCACACAAGAAGAAACAGACAATCTGAATAGACCTATATCTATTAGAGAAATTGAATCAGTAAGTAATAACCTTGCAAACAGAAAGCACCGAGCTCAGAAGGGCTCAATGGTAAATTCTACTGAACATTTAGGAAAGAAATTATACAATTCTCTACAACGTCCTCCAGAAGACAGAAGCAGAGCAACTACTTCCTAACTCACTCTGTGATGCCAGCATTACCCTAATACCCAAACCAGACACAGATATTATAAGAAAAAAAAACTATAGGCCAATATCTCTCATGAACATAGATGGAAAGATCCTCAACAAAATATTAGCAAATTGAATCCAACAATGTATAAAAAGAATTACACACTACTACCAAGTGGGATTTATGCCAGGTATGCAAGGCTGGTTCAACATTTGAAAATAAATTAATGTAATCCATCAGCTCAGCAGGCTAAAGGAAAAAAGTCACATGATCATACCAATGGGTACGCAAAAAGTATTCGACAAAATTCAGCACATATTCACGATAAAAACTCTCAGTAAACTAGAAATGGAGGAGAACTTCCTCAACCTGATAAAGAACATCTACAAAAAAACATCTAGCAAACATCATACTTAATGGTGAGAAACTAGCTTTCCTCCTAAGATCAAGAACAAGGCAAGAATGTCTGTCTCACTTCTCCTTTTCAACATCACACTGGAAGTCCCAGTTAATGGCATAAGACAAGAAAAGGAAATAAAAAGTATATAGATTGGGAAGAAAGAAAGAAAACTGTCTTTGTTCACAGATGACATGATTGTCTATGTAGAAAACCCAAAAGAATCAACAAAAGAACTCCGGGAACTCACAAGCAGTTACAGCAAGATTGCAGGATACAAAGTTAGTACAAAAGTTAGTTGTTTTCCTTTCCTATATGTCAACAGTGAACAAGCAGAATTTGAAATTAAAAACGCAACATCATTAACATTAGCACTCAAAAAATGAAACGCTGAAGTATAAATCTTACAAAATATGTACAAGGTATATATATGAGGAAAATTACAACGGATGAAGGATACCAAAGAAGGACTAAATAAACGGACAGCTGCTCCACGTTCGTGGTTGGAAGGCTCAATATTGTCAAGATATAATTTCTTCCCAGTTTGATCTATCAATTCAATGCAATCCCAGTGAAAATTCCAAGTTATTTGGTGGATATTGAAAAACTGATTTTAAAGTTTTTATGGAGAGGCAAAAGACCCAGAATAGCCAATTCAATACCGAAGGATGAGAAAAAAGTTGGAGGACTGACACCACCTGGCTTCAAGACTCACTAGAAAGCTACAGTAGACAAGACAGTGTGGTACTGGCAAAAGAACAGACAAAAAGATCAAGGGCACAGAGA